CACAGGAAAATTCTCTTGGGTATATTTAAAGTCAGAATATGGTAAATTATTGGATATTGATTTGAATACTATAAAGGTTTCTGTGAGGCATCTTAATAGTTTTCACTTTCATCAAATTGCCACAGTGTAGGCTGTTGGCACTGGCAGCCAGAGCTCTGAGGTGTAAACAAGGCTGAGCCTTTCCTTTTTGGGAGTAAACAGGCACAGACCACCAGCAGTTCCTTACACTTCTATTATTTCTCTTCTCCTTTCTTCAATAGGGATCACTCTGGCTCAGCAGGTTCACAAGCCACTGCTTCTTGTGTGTCTGTCTGGCCATATCAAATAGCACAGTACTGTACAATGGCTTTGCTTTGGGACTGTTTTCTGCCTCTGCTGCTTAACTGCTTTGCTAAGTGGTTGCTTGGCTTGGGTGTTCCACCTAAACATTTTAGAGCCCTGATTGCAGGATATTTCATGATGCCCTGCCATCCCTGGCTCTGGCAGAAACAAGGTTGAGCACGATGCCTGAGTCAGGTAAGCATTATCCCTGAGTATGAATGCAGAAACAAATCCAGAGAGCAGCACAGTGTTGGTCTGGAATCCTAGTCCAGAGGCAGAAATGCTAAGTTTTTAATCTGCTGTTCCCCAGCTTTATTTCAAAGCTGTTCTTCCTCAGTTTATGATTTTAAAGCAGTTCGCTCTTTTGCCTAATCAATGCCTAATACTTGTTAATGCCTCATAGTAATGGCAGAGGAATTTTGTGGATATCTACATTTGCTCTCAGTGCACAGTAAATATTTCTGAGATCTGTGCTCTCAGCTGATGCAGAGAATGAATCCTGCTGCAAACCAGCCTTTGTTCCAGCCTTTCCAGTGTGGCCTCTGCTTCCAGCTGGGAGCTTGATTTCTTTGAACTTGGGGTCCCCACATAGACAGGTTTTGGTTGGTGTCATGACTCTCCATGTCACAGCTGATGTTCTATAAGGCTTTGGGAAATGGTGAACAAACCAGCTCAGCTCTCTTGATGCAGCTGAAAGTGCAATTGGGCCAATGCTTGGCTCAGTCCTGCATTTCAGAACCTGAGCATGGTGTGCCTGAGGTGTGCTGCATAAAATTGAATTCTGTTCTCTTGTGGAAAAGAACCTCTGCTGCTGCTGTGCCTTAGCCAGCCTGAGGTGACAGAAGAACCACCTTTGGTAGCTGGAGGAAGCTGAAGTCATTAAACCATCTCTATCTTTGAAGCAAGGGACTTCTGTTCTCTTATCATCCGTTTTGCTGATGTTGTGTCCAAGGGTTTTTTTGCTGTTTTGACTGAGCTGAAAGTTCCAAAAGCACAGAACCCTTTCTGAAGCAGTTCCTGCCCCTGGCTGAAAATGCAGTGGAGTTCATTAGCCTGGAAGTGCTGGCTGAGACCCTGCTGGGGGAAGGGGGGCTGCTGTTGTATTTTTTGTATCCCTTGTGCCATTTTGGACTTGAGCAGTATTTATTTTTAGTACATTTAAACAGTGCAGAAGGAAGGGGCAGTTGTAATATGGCATATTTACATCATGCTGTCAGTTCCTGGCAGCTCCCTTGCCTGTCAGAGAACAGAGCTGGTCCATTAAGGATGTGAGTGCTACTTATGCCCACGAGTGGTGAAACATCGTCTCCAGGGTGGGAAGGCCTCCCCAGGCCAGCAGGTTCGTTTGTTTTTCTAAGGTGGAGTATGGGGAATTTTTTTTTCATGTCACAGGGACAGGAATGGGCCTTTCTACCTCCCACTTTTTCCTCCTTTTCCTCTGCTCTGGAAAAAGAGAGGCAAAGTCTCTACGTGAGCTCAGCATGTGCTGGTTTTTCCCCTCATGTCACGCTGAAGTTCTCTACCCCTTTATAAAAATAAAAATCTATAAATAAAAAAGAACAAATGCTGAGGGGGACAAACTGGACCCACAGTTATGTGCATGTAGTCACTCGTCGAAGGGTGCCTAGCCCCATTCCTCCCAGGCTTCATGCATTCCCTGTTTCTTATGCTGTCAGCTTCTCAGCATGGGAAACGTGCACAAACAGTCCTGGCTGCTGCTTTTTTAGCCCTACCAAAACATAATATTGATTGAGCTTAGGCTGAAATGTTGGGCTCATCTGCTGTTGAATTAGCTTGTTCTCTATTTCTGTATATTCTCTCCCACTTTGGAGGGAAAATAAAATTGCAATGAGTTTTGCTGCCACACTTCAATGTCTCAGTAATAGCTTTCTCCTGGAATTAAGCAGTATTTAGCTCTGATCTCTCCTGTGTGACTCTGTTTGCCTCAAGCACAGGCACCCTGTGATTTCCCTTTCTTGGAAACTGCCCTGTCTCAGCATGTGGGTAGGAGGCCATGTAAATAAATACCAACCACTTCTTAGCCTTCAGTAGGCATTTCCTTTTTCCTGGTGGTGCAGAAGAAACACTTTCTCACAGTTTGGCATCAAACATTTATATAACTTTCCCTCTTGTGGAATTTTTGTTTAGACAATCAGATTCTTGGTAGAGATTTTTCATCAGTTTCTATTTTTATTCATCTGTGGTTGCTTGGTTTGTCAGTAAATAGTGTCTGTCAGAAGAAACACCTCATCAGAAACTTCTTAAATTTTCAGCAATTGAATAGTAAATCATGGTAAGTCTATTCTGTAATAGTGAAAGATTAGTTTTACAGAAAAAATTAAACTTATCTTGGAGTTTTTTTTCCTTAGCTATGATGGAATATATCTGCCCAAATAGAATATTTCTGCCCAAAAGATTTTTTTATATATTACCAGGCTTAAGTTTGTGAAATATAATACAAAGTATCTTATATGGCCTTGCAGTCCTGCTTTCAGCTGAAAAGGATATTTGCTTTTGATACAAGGTTTAATATATGCTACAATATTTTTCCAGTGTGTGTCCCTTTGTTATTGTTACTTTCATTTGCTAGACTAGGTAGGACATAATTTTATAACAGCAAAAGAGATCATATCAATACAAATTAGTATTAGAAGACAGATACTTCCAATTTGCATGTATAAATATTTATAACATCTTCATTTAGTGTTGTTTACAAATATTTTTATTGATATGAATATTAATATGAATATTAATTAAATTATGAATTTACATGGCTTAGTTTTGTCTGTCTCAGTGGTAATTCTCAGTGAGTGGGTGGTAGTACACAGTCCCTGCTGGGAGAGCCCCAGGGCTTCAGACCATGCAGATTCCCTGGGAGCAGAATTTAGATCTGAGCTGTGATAAACAGCTGCAGAGTGGCACTGAGCTAGACTCCTTCATGGGAGCAGATATTAGGTGAGGGAGCGAAGAATGCACCTATGGATCTTCTTTTGTGAGGGATGATTTCTAGGGTGGTTAAGATAGAGGCAATTTCAAAATCCATCAGATGCTTTTTGTATAATACACAGAATTTGATAACATTTGTATTCAACAGCAAGAGAAATTGTGCTTTTCCAGAAGGGTTTTTGAAATCTGCTTTTTCCTCTCCTGAGGCCTGCTAGGAGGCTGTCTAGGAAAGCGAGCCTTTGTTGGCCATGTCATGGTATTTTTATAGTTTCACTCTTAGGGCCTTTCTCATCCAGCTGAGTTTTGCAATCTCCTGAAGCTCTGCCAAGATGAATTGCATCTGCCCTCACAGAACACACGTTCAGCCCAGCCAGGACATCTTCCAGCTCTGTGCACTGAGAGCTGCTTGGTGTATTCTGGGAAACACTCACAGAGAAGACTGAGTCCTAGGTTGGTTTGTCCCTTTGTCCTGTTTCCTGGGCATACAATAAACTGTTGTCCCATGCATATTTCTTCCTGAGCCAACCCCCATGAGTGATGTTCCAGCCCAGAATACTTCAGAAAGGGCTGCTGGACTTCAGAGCTGGCTCTGGTGGTGGCTGGGCAGAGACCAGTCAGCCTTGCTGCCTGATAAGGGACTGTGAAGGAATCTGAGCTCTCCAGCTTTGGTGATTTATTGAAGTTCTGCAGGGTCATTGGGTAGCCAGAGTCATGAAAACCCCATTTATATCCACTGGGAGAATTCCAGGGCATAAAGCCCCTCTGCATCCATTGCTGCCATAGTGGCACCAGCTTTAGCAGTACCTTGATGGCTTTTAGAATCTGTTAAACTGTGCTGTGTTAATAACCCTGCGAGAGTTATCATGATGGGCAGGCCCTGAATGAGGGCTTTGAGAATGGCCACTTGTTTTTGGATCCTTTTATTGAACATCAGGTGTGTTTGCAAAGCAAACTGGAAAGGTCAGCTTCAGTTTATCCATCACTTAAAGAAGTTTAACACAATGGAAGCAGCTAATTATCTCAGGGTTTTTTTTGTTCTGACACAATAAATGACCTTGGGAGTATTGCTAGTTCATAATAGGAAGTGAAGGAAGAAACCTGGAAAAGGTGAAATTACAGTGATTGTGCTGTAAATGAGGGTTGTGGTGAAATTGCAAAGGAGTTGGCTACAGCAAGAGGGAATAACTCATTCCCCTTAGAGAAATAAGCTGGTTAGATTAGAGTCTGATTTTGTTTGTACATAGTATTATTTAGATTGATTTGTATGGATTTTGTATTTTTCACTGGCAGAATGAACATTTATGTGTGAGTTTATTGAATGCCATGCTTAAATAATTAATAATAGCAAAAGTAGAGATGAATTTATGCCACCAATTACTTCTCTTGTTGTGCAGACTTAGAAGAGTTCTTTTTTGATCAGATACTTTTATTTTAGTGAAGTCTGACCCTTGCCTTTTTAGAATTCAGAGGAATGAAAAATAACAAATGTAGATGTTTATGTGTTTGAGGTGAACTTTTTTTATTAGGAAATGTTTTGAAAGGGTCAGTGAATAACAGAACTGAAACTGAGGTTTCATTTCTCTTGCAGGTAGGTCTGTGAAAGATAAGCAGACATTTAAATTTGGGTATTTCCTTATGATAACAAATGTTCCAAGGTCATTACCAACTCTACAGATCTTGCTGACATCAGGCTTCTTCTCACACAGTGTTGTTTTAATCCTTTTTTTTCCTAGGAAAAAGAGAAGAAGTACATGCTGCCTTTGGACAACTTGAAAGTGCGAGATGTGGAAAAGAGTTTCATGTCCAGCAAACACATCTTTGCATTGTTTAACACAGAGCAGAGGTGAGAAAATGTGCTGTTCTGCAGATACTTCTACCAGATAGTATCTAGCTGAGCATTTGAATAACTGTGAGTGCACTTCTGCTGTTTCCACCATGTTGAGTACACAAGGTCTTGATATTCTTGATTTATCTGCTGCTCTGCTGTTGCATAACCATGGGATGAGAGGTTGGTGTCCTCTGAGCCACTCGTGGGGTGAAACAGCTCCATGATGAGTCAGCCAGTCCTTCCTTATGGCTGAATAATCATCTCCTGATCCTATTTTTGTTTTATTTGGCAGTCACCTAGGCTTACCAAAACATTCATGACTTCTGTACCTTGTGACCAGATTCAACTGGTGTAAATCACAAAAGCGTCATTGCTTTTCACTTTCTCCAGTGGAAAATCATGCCTGTCACTAATCTTGGGACTCATTTGATTGTTTGTTTGGGTTTAGACACTGCTGAATGGAGAAAAATTAGATTCCTCTACTTCTTTAATTAATAAAATCTTTGCCTTTTCGTTTTTGCCCCACACTTTAAGTGTTGTGGTCACTCTATGGAAGCCACTCTTGATGCACAGCCAGCTCAGTTTCCTTAAATGTTACAAAAGACATAAAAGTGATGTGTAATTTTTATTTTTTTTAACTGGAGAGGAGAGTTGCATTTGTAGCTGTCTCAGGGGAATTGCATTTTAGCAGATAAGGGGCAATTTCTGTAAGCTTTTTTCAGGCAAAAGTAGCATGGATAGATATCCTTGTTCACCTCTTCTGCTAGATTCCTTCACACCTGATTCTCCCTCACATCACTAAAGCTTGGCATTGCCTTCAGATATTCAAGATGATGAGGGCTGGATGTGGCTCTCTGCAGAGGCAGCTGTCTTTGCTCCAGACATAGTGGCCAGAATTTCAGAAGCAAGGAGCGCCCCTCCCTCTTGCAAGGCAAAAGCAAATCATGGGATTTCTGGGCTGTCAGGTTTGTGCTGACCCCAGGAATGTGAGGCCACAATGTCAGGCTCAGTCTGAACCAGCCCAGGAAGGCTCTGCCTGTGTCTGCTGCCACCTCATCCAGCCTGCCAGGAGATGCCCTTTGAAAGCATGTCACACACACACTGGCTGGGAATAACATTTCACATGCTTGACCACTTGTGTTTCTGGAGCACAGAAAAAAAGCTTTGAAAAGCTTTTCATGTTCTTAAAAGCAGAAATGATCTTTGGATGCTGGAAATGAATGTAATTCTGATGGTTTTGGCTGTAGATATGTGTGGATCCATCAAGAAAGGTAACTTTGTTCAGGTGGCTTGATAGCAGCTGGACATATTAGGTTACTTCCATGAGAAATTTGTTCATTTAGCTCATTGTTTCTCCTTTGGTTCAACTAATGGCTTTGAATATTATTATCATCATAAATATTAATCATTGAACTGCTGTGAAAATCCAAGAGAAGCATTTCCATTGGCAAGTTTAGGATTGATTTAGGTGGTATACAGCTGGACATTCACATTTTTGCTTGATCTTCATCTATAGTAGATATCAAGGATTTCAAAATCAGATGTCTAAAATGTTTGCCATGTCTGTAGTAGCCCTGCCTCTTTGAGCTCTGAGAAGACCCTGCAGCCTCAGCAAGCTGCTCTAAAAACATCCTTCCATCCACATGGGCATGTTAAGACATGACAGCACAGCAGTGAGACCACAAAATGCCTTTGCCTTGGGAGAGGCAGATCATGGAGTCAGTCTTGCTCATTAAAATTAAAATACTCATTTAAGGGAGGCAGAAGTTGTTTTTGAAGAAATATTTATTGAATTCTAATTAAAACAGCAGTTTCTCTATTACTGTAAAACAGCTGATTTTTGATATTTCTAAAAATCTGCCTCCTGGCACAAATTGGTCAAAACAAGATTAGTATCACTTTCCTCTGAATCCTGAATTGATAGATGTGTCAGCAAAAATAGGAATATTGGATCTCAAGTAGAGTGATCTGGCTGGGGACTGTCCCCTATCCCACATTCTTAAGGAAACTGAAAGAGGGAATTGATAAAGATACATTGAAATAAGAATTCTTACTGTTGTTTTACTTTGTGGTAATCTGTTG